TAGGTTGAACACACACTCCGCGTCTGTCACCCTCACTGTCCGCTCCTTTGGAGCTCCGATGTTATCTACAACATCCGACGAACAGCTGTTAACCCCGCAGTCTTCGTCCAGTGGATACCGTTTCACGCCACGATCAGCCCGCAATGCACGCTCGCGACTCCTGTCCAATACACCGTTGGTGTCTACCAACTCCGACATTCCATGTCTAGCACGTTGAACGTCTTGGTCTAGTGCATTCGCCTATAACGCTTTTGTCTCCTAGCAGAAGTGGTTTCATGACTCGCCAAAGATCCACCAGGAGACATGTGCGTAGCGCCTAAGATCTTTGACCTTCAATCAATCCATGGCTCATGGTGTTTCAAACATGCTATTCCTAGTATGTAGTCATACCTTGCATCCAAGTCTAAGACTAGACAGCGTTTCACGCTATCAAAGTCAAGGAACTTGACTCCGAGGGCCACAGGGTTCTTCGGGACCGTGACACGCGTCCCCGTCGTTAGGCGTACAGTGACGATGTCACCCAACCGCGCTTTCAGCGCCTCAGCATACAGCTGAGTTCCCTTCATCGTGAAGCGTCGAGCATAATTGCCCGACGCCCCAGAATATATGAGGATCGTCCATGGCTACTCGAAGCCCTTTAAGGTCGCCTCCACGACCAGCAAGCCCGGCTTGCATACACGTTCCGTGTTTAAGAGCAAGGTGCTCTTCGGGGCTGAGCCCTGTTGATTTCTTTATCTCCCTGAGGCTCAACAAAATCCAGTTCTTTCCCAGTAGGTCGCCCCGTGCCTACTGGGTGGTGTCGTTTCCCCGCGACGAACCAGACTGGTAGGCATTGGGGTAATGGTTCGAAGAACCTTGACACGCCTTGCGCAGGTGCACCCGTTCTGAAGGTGACGGGTTGTCCACAGAGATATAACACCGTCGCGTCTTTGTGTGCTGCCCGGCACCTCAAAGCTTTTCTTCCTCGCCCCTAGCATAGCTGAAAACCATGGGCACAGGCCCGCTCGATGAGCTGAGCTTTTGGAGTGTGCATTCCAACCAAGTGGTGCCGACGTGAAATTGAAGTCGATGCCACGTTCACCGCCTCTTCAAATGAGGACAGGTACACACAGAAGACTTCCATTTTGGCCACGCCAGTGCGGAGGCCTTCCATAAATACGGTCACTGTGACCGCCTCCGGGAGAGGATCTGCTGCTATCCCGGCAATGAGAGTTCGCAACTCTTGGACAAAGTCCATTAATTCCCTGTTGCCCTGTCGGGTGGCAAGGAAACGCGATCGCACGCGATACGCCTAATTAGGCGGCGAGAACACTCGTGAGAGCTGCAATTTTTGCTCCGACCAGGAGGGAAACGCAGCTCCGACCAAAGAGCGGCACGTCAGTGCCCATTCTCGCGCTCGACCACCGAGCTTGGAGATGGCCAGTGCCGCGCGCTGTCGCTCGGTTTGGAGCATGGCGGATGCGATGGCCATCTCGACCTCTCTCACCCAAAGCAGGAGATTCTCTATATCCTTCCCTCAAAGACCTCAACGCTCACCATGAGCGGCTTAGGTAGGGAAAGACATCCGTCACCGACGGTGGCGTCATAGATGCAAACATCTTCTGCTGCAGGTGCTCTAGCAGCGCGTTTTTGTAATTCAAAATTGCCTCTAGACGCACATCGGTTGCCTAGCGGGCTTGTGCTACAAGGTGTTGCATGCCCTGGGGCAAATAGAAAATTTCCTTTATCCTCACAGAGGATCAGTCTAAACGACTCATAGATTGACTACAAGTGCTACCAAGAGCAGCGGGCTGCCGCAGCTAAGCGCTTGAGGAAGCGTACTTTAAGTCACCGACCTTTCGTTCTTTACAAGTAGCAAGGTACTTTAGGTCACCGACCTTTCGTTCTTTGCAAGTAGCAAGTATGAGTTAGCGGATCGCAATCCGCTTACTCCAAGAGTGATTATTGCCTTCCCA